CCCCAAAACCCCAAAACCCCAAAACCCCTTAATACGCCAAGATTATTGAAAATGGTTAATTGTTGTTCTGCTTTAAGTACTCGTTAATGGATTGATCTATAGCTTACATAAAATGATTACCAATGGGGTCTAAATGAGGTTCTTCATGGGCCCATCCTGTTACCAAATCCGATACAGGGTCCAATGCTGGTAACCTAAAGATTTTAAACCTGGAGCTTACTTCAAAACTATTGGTTTTACTGTAGCATCTCATCGATATGGTTTATGTGGCTTTTCTGCCATAATCCCACTTGGTCCTACACATGTTTGCTACTGAAGTCTTACAGGCTTCCTTATTTCTGGTCACGGGCTTCTTGGGTGAAATTTGACTGGTGTTTTTATTGCTAGGTGCTTTGACTAGATTTAGGTCTTGCAAGAATTTTTTGAAAGAGTTTTGATAGAGGTAGTGGATTTTGAAGAGATTGGGTTTTGAGTGGAGGCGGGTTTGAAGGAAGTTGGGTAAGATTTGAGAGATGGAAAGGAGATGTGAGGGTTGTTTGTGGTGGTAGAGGGAGCTGTGAGGTTCGAAAAATGGTAAAATAGATCTTTTAGAGAGGAATTTGAAGTGATTTAGACAAGGTTGTAAAATTCTGGATTAATAGTCATTAAATTTTAAACATTGTTTGAATCATACCTAAATTGCTTCTTTTTAACTGTACTCATGGATAACTTCGCTTATTCTGATCTTTCTTCTATATCCTACTTCTCCGCCACATACCATACTAAAATACCCAGTCTTTCTTTTACTCCTCTTTGGACTAATCAGGGCTGCAAGTTTTGTATATCTCTCTACTCTCTGTCTATCCCCACTCTGTCTATGCCCACTCTGCCTATTTCCACTCTGCCTATTTTCACTCTGTTTCTATACCTCATTACTAACTCCTTTACTCTCTCCTTACCTTCACATGACTCTGTGAACACTCTCTCTTCAGTCCTACAGCTGAAGAATGGTTTCTGGAACCTTTCCCAGCAGGAATAGATTTCTCATGAACCCTCTTCCTAGCAGGGTTTCTAGTCCTATTGCCCTGGATGAACCTCTAAAGACAAATTTCAGATACTTTCATTTATATAGAATTGACAGTCAGAAGAAGTTAAAAAGAGTTTTAAAGAGCTTACAGGGTCTTTAGAGGGGTTATTTCTTTTTGAGAATAATTATTTTTTGGGAGATTTCAGGTTTGAAAGAGAGGTTTTGGGACAGTTTCTAAGGAAGGAGTTAGAGGAGGTGGATTTGAGTGTGTTTTGAGGGTATAGAAATGGATTTTAGAGGTAGTAGCATTTTGTAGAGGTGAGAAATGATAAAGGGAAAATGAGTTTACTTTTTCAGTGGATATATTTTTCGGACTTTGAAGTCCAAATTTTGTTTTTATTAATCTTGGTTTATTAGTAATTCAAGGCTTCTTTCTTCATCCTAAATTGTTATAGGCCAGTTTTCAAACTCCCAAAGAGCCTGAAGTTTACCTCGGAAACCTATTGAATAAATTTGGGTGACTTTCTCTTGCTTTTTGACCTCAGCCTTTTCTCCATGGTGAAGATTTTCTCTGATATGGTACTTTTTCGAATTTAGTTTAATATTTGTCTCACTATATTATCATAAAATCTCTTAAAGAATTTCTTCATAAATTTCATAATAAGTTATTATTTGTTCGAACTGACACAATTGGAGAGTAAACTCTGAACTAATAGCAAGAATAAGTACTGGAATGCTTAAATGAGCATAAGCTAGTGAAGGATGCTAGATCAACTTGAATTGCAAATAGCCAGAATCAAACCGGTTTATGGTTGCTTTCCTATAAAATTTATCAAACTAAAATAGTGAATAAATAGCTCAAAGAGTTCCTTTTAAGTGCTTCTTATTCATATCCAATTCCATATCCCATCCCTTACATAGCACCAATACTCTACCTAAAACAACCCTCAAAAACGACATCACCCAAAATCCTCTCACATCACTCAGACTACTCAAAATCCAACTCTGTAAAAACCCACAACATCTCCAAACCTCTCTCTATGCTTTCTAACCCTCTTAAAACTCCACCCAAAACCCCTTGTTTTATTCCTTAAACCCTTAATGCTTGAGCCAGCATCCGTTCCCTTTGTGTCCAGAGAGTTTGGCGCTTAGACTAGAATATTTTAAGTAATTGGCTGAAACCAGGATTTCTTTGGTGCAGAGATGATCTAAGGAAAGGAGTCTGGAATATAGGTAATTTGGAAGAAAATTTAGGATGCTCATTGTGATTAGTTGTGTCAAAAGTTACCGTTTTTAAGAGTAATTTAATTAAACAATCTTCTGGACTGAGTAATGAAAGTATGACTAAACATAAAACACAAACCTGGGAATTTGATAATTATCAAGATAGATACCCAATTTATTTGATTATTTATTCTATATCCCTTGGAACCTTCTTTATATCAAATAAAACGAACAACTTCAAACTCAGAGAAGACCACAAACTGTAGTTTAACCATTAAACCCCCACCCACAACCATATCTCATTCCCCAGCAAAAAGCTCTCTTAACACCCAAAAAACCTCTCTTAACGCCCAAAGCCCTCAATCCGCCCACTCCTGCACTCACAAGACTCCAAAACCCATTTACTCCATGCATACCTTAACATTTCCAATATTTTATAACCAAAACGGGGTTTTGGGGTTTTGGGGTTTTGGGGTTTTGGGG